CTCCCGAGCGTGGCTGACGCTAACGCGGCCGCCATGTTTGTTGAGGGCACCCGGCTTCTCCCACTCTCGCAGCGGAAGAGACCGCGAATTCGCGGCCACCTCGCCCGGGGGAAGCAGAGGTGGAGCTCTCGGGGCCGGGCATCACTCCCAGTAGGGCGCCGGCCACTCGGTCCCGGGCAGGCTGACCCCGAGCCCTAGCCCTTAGGCTCGGTTTGGACTTTTCCTGGGGCGGAAGTCGTGCATTTTGGTGGAGAGTATCTCCCGGTTGCGCCCAACTACCTTATTTCTGCTGTCAAGCTCAAACCCCTACCGAGTGGCAGGCAGTGGTTGTCTTGGAAAAATTTTCAGCTCATTTTAATAGAAGAGGAAACAGGTAGAAAGCTTGTCAAAGGTTTCAGAGGTGTTATGTGCTAGAGGCGGGACTCCTGATTCCAAGCCAAAGCACTTTCTACTGCGCGATTCTGGGCTCTCCACATAAAGTGTAGTACCAGAGATGTGCTGCCTTTCTGGAGGACAAATGATCGAATGGCTTCTGAGGAAGAAACTTGTATTAGCCTAGTAAGAGTGTCCAAAGTCAACCAAAAGATTAGGACTTTTGATAAAGTAAAGCTAATTTTTAAAAATTTAAAAAAAAGGACTTCAAATTAACAATCCTATGTACGTCTACTCCCAAACCTTACTTGACAGCCTTAGGAAAGGAAAAGGAATAAACCCACGAAAGTAACAAGAACAAGAAATGACTGCATGAGATGTCAACACATTTTTGGAAGACAAAGAACAGTAACACTTCTTCAATGCTTATTTTATGGCAGGCATTATTCTAAGTGCTTTTCACATATTAACTTATTTAATCCTCTTCACAAAGTAAAAGGTAGATATATTTTAAAGCTAAGTCCACCACAAAGAGGTTATTTAAATCAGGCAGCCTCTCTGTAAATGGAGGGGTTTGCACAGTGGAGAAAAGTGTCTGCAGCAAGTGACTCACAAAGCAGAACCCCAGAAAGGCTTTGGAACTGCAGGTACCTAGAAGGTAGAAGGGAGGGGAGCAGTGAGGCAGGAGTGAAAATGGGCACTGCTTACAAGTCTGTAAGAACAAACATCCAAGTCCTCTCTCAGGTCCAGTGCAGCTGAGCAGTTAGCTATCCTTCCCCCGGCAAAAAACTATAGAGTTTACCATGCTGAAGGCAGGGAGTCAGAGGGGTTCCAGACACATTATGAAGAGTAACAGTTTTCTATGGAATGTGAAATAACTATTATTAGTTCCTTCTCTGCCCCTCCCAGAATGCTGACACTTCTCTCCCCAAGCCCTATTTTTCTCTGGAGAAAGGGAGCAAATGAAAGACCATAGAGCAATGGTTTACAGCAACATCCCCCAGTAAGTAGATTTGGGACTTCACAAACACAGCACTTCCAAACATTTTTCTGTTTGGAATTGAAAGAAACCAGAAAGCAGAACAAAATGGTTTTTAAAAGTATTCTATAACTAGCATCCTCAGATAAAAGGTATTTCTTTCATGAAACATGAGGATTTTAGAACTTCTTTAAGGGGAGCTGAGAGTATACAAAAGTTTTTCAAAATTAAAAATGATATCCCCAGTTTCAAAATATCAATAAGAGTAGGAAAAGGTGGGTAAAACTGTACTAGAATGTACAATAAAGACAGATAAAAAATACAGCAGAAACAAAAAGGAAATTTCTCAAACACTAGGAAATTTACCAAAACTGAAAGATTTTAGTTTCTACAGTGAAAGGGCCTACTGAATGCTCAACACAATGTTAAGAAACCCACAGAAAAGGACACATCACTGTGAAATTTCAGGATGTTGCAAATAAAAGGTCCTAACTGCAGAGGGGGAAAAAAAGTTATCAAGAAAGGATTTGGCACACATACACAACAGCATTAGGTTTCTCATCAGCAACACAGGAATCTAGGAGTAATGCCTACAAAATGTGGAGACTGTTTCTAACATAGAATTTTTAAAACCCAACCAACTGAGAATATAGTTTCAAACCTGCAACTAGCCTGGAGCAGAGCAGAAAGAGGGTTCCAAGAGAGAAACTTCTGGAGGTGTCTGAAGGGGAGGAAGGGTTAGGGATTAGGATTAGGGAGAGATTAGGGTGAGAACCGTGAAACTCACTTGACATGATATACTGAGGAAAACAGTATGCAAAAGGTTTTACAATCCTGTTGGGGGAATCTGGGAAGAACTGGTGACAGCTACACAGAATACGAAGAAGTGAAGCAATTATCATCTCCAGGAAAATTATTTAAGAAATATAATAACAGTATACTTACAAAGCCATAATAAAAACTTTTAAACTGAACATTGTGATCTAATTAAACTGAGACAGAAAGTGAAGATGATACAAGAGTTCTAAATTCTCATCTTGCAGAATATAAAGTTTATATAGTGGCTATCCTTCAAGAATCCAGAGGTAACTGTATAAGCCTACTACGTAAAATATGGAGGAGAGTACCTGCTGGAATACCTAAAAAAGTTAAAAGTAATGAAACTCAGGGGCATGGCCTCAAATGAAGTGTTAAAATTATCTAATTTTTTTTTTTTTTTAAAGATTTTATTTATTTGACAGAGAGACACAACGAGAACAGGAACACAAGCAGGGGGAGTGGGAGATGGAGAAGCAGGCTTCCCGCCGAGCAGGGAGCCTGATGCGGGGCTCGATCCCAGGACCCTGGGATCATGACCTGAGCCGAAGGCAGACGCTTAACGACTGAACCACCCAGGTGCCCCCAAATTATCCAATTTTTAAAATATGTTCATGCTTAGAAAGCTATTACTCACCTGGATATCTGATAAAGAGGTGAGATTAAGGATTGAGTTGGCGGTTTTTGTCCATGAACATCACTGAACAGATGAAAACTCCTTTGATGCTCCTTATCACTCAGAGCCCAGTGAACCAGCACTTGATAATTATAAAGATCAGTATTACTCCTTTTCCTTATTCCCCTTTTCCAACTCCTTCCTGCCTCCACGTGAATTTTAAAGATTTCCCTGTTTCATAACTAATAATTATTTTGCAAACTTAAATTCGTGGCTCATTGAGGAACTAGAAAAGAGAAAGGGCAGAACCAGTGGAAGCAAAGTTTTTAAGAGTGGGAAGATAAAAAGTGAACCAATATCAGAGAGGGGCTATGAACATTAGGAGCACTGTGATGCTTAAGGAGGTTGAAAGCTCAACTCCACAAGCTAGAATGAGAGAAGAGTTGTGAGACATTCAGGGATGCAGTGGGTCGCAAGACCAAAGAACTGAGTTCCCCAAGAACTGGGACAAAAAGGAATGGCTTAATTTTAAGGTCAATGAAAAGAATCAACTGAGAACAAAGGTAAAAGTGTTCTAGGCAGCTTCAATTGAACGAGGCTTTGCATGAACGAGCAAGAGCCCGAGAACAGAATATGGACATAGAGCTGCTTCTGTGAATTTTTCCTCCCTTTATTCTGTGGGCTTCTTCTGTTAGCCCTTAGTAGGAATCTACACACACCCTTTTCTTTAATATGCCTGCCTTTACTTTTCCCTTCTTTGACTTGCAGAATTTTGGTATTCCTCTGGTTTTGAATATCGGACATTAGAGAGGGCTTAAACAAATCCAAAGGCAGCTAAACCTTACAGAATACTTGACCATGAACCCTGCAGACCTTTCATTTGCATCATCAAATTTTGTCCTTAGAAAGCCCTCTGAGCTAGTAAGTGGGAGAGTTAAGACCTGACCCAAAAACCATTCCTTTCTACTACTAGGTTCTCTTTCTAGTGTGCTGGAGTCTCAATAGACCAAGAGCCCATAGGAGAGATGATTAGATAAGGCCTTCAAGACAAACATCCTGATCTCAGAGGTCAAGCTGCCATCTCCCATCTCCCGTAATAAAGCCGCTGCCTCCTATCCTAAGATACAGAGCTATCATGATGGTGGGGAGACCTGGGACTCCTGACCAAAACACTTCAAGGTAAGACTCTTTTCTCCTACACTCAGGTAAATCTTAAAACCTTTTGCGCCACATTTGAATCATGGAACTGCCTACTATAGGTCTGTTAGTAAGAAATGATGATATTCATAAACTCTGTTCTGTGGGCCAGACTAATGATGATTTCTCTTATCCTAAAATGTCTTAAAACAAACAAAATTTGGGGTGCCTGGGTGGCTCAGTCGTTAAGTGTCTGCCTTTGGCTCAGGTAATGATCTCAGGGCCTTGGGTTCGAGCCCCATGTCGGGCTCTCTGCTCAGCGGGAAGCCTGCTTCTCCTTCTCCCACTCCCCTGCTTGTGTTCCCTCTCTCGCTGTCTCTGTCAAAATAAATAAGTAAAATCTTAAAAAAAAAACTTAAGCTGTATGTCTTCACATATAATAAAAACAGAGTTCACATTATTTGCCTACTTGTACGAGCCTTAATTTGCCACAAAGGTTCTGATTACACTGAGCTTACATGAATGAGGGAGAGCCTTAAGCCATAGCTTTGATGTTTAAGTATTAGGATTTTATTTCCAGCACTTATGTTCATCCTTGAGTTTAAAAAGTCTAGTAGAATCTAAGGGACTCCTTTTAAATACGTTTACCTACTTGTGATGGAGAAACCAACAGGAACCAGTCCACCATTTATTTACTTGCATCACGGATTTCCTATAGGAGACTCTTGGGCCTAGCACGCTTCACAGCTCGAGTGCAACCTGTGTCCTAGGGTTTCACTGATCCACACCTAACGGTGCCGAAAAACACCTATGCTTCCTATTGTCTCATGAATCCACGAAAGCACGCAGATTCTCCCAGCTCTAAACACAGTGATGTTTACCAAAATCAGCATTTGCTTTTTACCGACACAGGGACAACATCTGACAGTAAAGAGTGTAGCAAGATTTGACTGAACCAAAATTGCAAGAAGACTAACAAGTGATTTCACCATTCTGCTCTGCAATGTAGTTTCCGCAAGTCAACTGTGATAAAAAGCAGGAAATGACTATTTCAAAATTTTACTAACTCCTAAAAAGCTGGAAGTTGGATTTAACAGTTTATTATGATTTATAAGTGTCATTTTAAAAACATCAGTCCATTAAACCATGTAGAAATAAGTATGCAAAAAGTCTGCAAAACAAAACATACTTTAAACATGTTTAAGTAGAGGGATTATCTGAAATTCCGGATTTTTCAGTCACTTAGTTATTATGCTATGGCCGCCAAGTAATCCTTAACTTCAGTCGGAGTGAGCCTCCTGAATCCGGCTTCATTGCAGATTCCAACCTCTATGTTGTCTTCTGTCATTTGCCCTTCAAAGCTTTCCTATTGAAGAGGGAGGGCAAAAGGTCAATTTTCCAAGCATTTACTTATAAAACTCATTATAAATCCCATTGTTAGAAATTGTGCTAACCTTTAGGGTTAATATGGCTGTATGAATGGCATCTTCAAGTTCCAGGTCTTCATTATATCTAAAGAATTTTTTGAAAAAACAATGATTTATGGCACAATTTACATTATTTATGATTATTTAAACCTGGTAACAGCAGCACTAAGAATTTTTAAAAATCTAAAACACTCCTAAAAATACTAAGCTACAGATTAATTCTTTTAGTCCACTCACTGCAATAGCTGTCCCCAAATAAGAATTATTTGGCATGCATTCCTAAATTCATGAAACTTGAAACCCTAACAGGAATATAAATATTTTAATATAATCAGAATATCGTGGCAATGTTATATTTTTTTAAATAAAGAAATCAGGCCTTTGCTAAAATTTCTTATGTTTGTTCTTGTAAGTTTTAACTTCATGTGAAATGTTTGAAGACTCACTATTAATATGTAAAAGGAAAGTGCTTTATGAAAGATCTTAAAATTATTTAAGTGTACCAATTAATCCCAGGTTTAAGATTTTTAGTAATCTTAACATTATGTGAAAAATGTACTGAGAAGGTTCATCTGTTGGTTCTAGTCAATTACAAACTTCTGCCATTCAAAATGGTGGACTAATGCTGAGTCCAGAATACAGCTGGAAATAAGAGCAGGTTGTTGTGCTACAGTAGTGACAGATTTTTACATGGTACTCCACTTTTCATCAAGCATATATATCATATATTTAATCTACCATTAATACCAGGTATTTGGCTTCACAATTTTTTTCTGTAATTGTCATAATGTAAACTATTATCACTTAACTCACTTAAACTTTCCTCCCAAATTTCTTACTCCAAATCCAACGATTTTTCATTTTGTTTTTTAGATTGTAGGAGAAGAAACAAAGTAAAAATTAGAAACAACATTTAGGAAACAACTATAAGAATGTAGAAAGAAAAGTTCTTAAATATCTAGTATTACCACTTAATATACTGAAGACTAGGAAGCCAGGGTGGAGAGAAGTTTTTGTTTATTTTATTTCTTTTTTTTTTTTTTTTAAAGATTTTATTTATTTATTTATTATTTGAGAGAGAGATGGTGAGAGACAGAGAGCACGAGAGGGGAGAGGATCAGAGGGAGAAGCAGACCCCCCATTGAGCAGGGAGCCCGATGTGGGACTCGATCCAGGGACTCCAGGATCATGACCTGAGCTGAAGGCAGTCGCTTAACCAACTGAGCCACCCAGGCACCCTGTTTATTTTATTTCTAACTAGGCTACACAAGTGAGTATTTGAATACAAAGTAATAAAACAAACATGTTTAGATTCATATTAATGATTTAAAGAGAGCTGAGAACCATGAAGTAAGCTGGGTAAATCTAGTTACCATTAGCCTACCTTTTCTCGAGGAAAGTCTTCCCATTCACATAGTTCTTTCCCATTGCTGTAGCTTTCCAGGCAAAGTAAGCTCCCTAATCAGGAAGAGAAGAGGATAAGCCATATTTTAGATCATTAATCTTACTAGAGCACCCTGCCATCTCTTCTTTAGTTCTACAGATTTGTCTCTGACTTCTAAGTTCACGGAATATTGGAATGCAATGGAATATATCACAAAAGAGGCTATTTTTAGAAAAGGTAAGTAACAAAAAGGCATGAAGACACTTCTGGAGGTTATGGAGAGGTTCAGTATTTGGATTGTGGTGACAGCTTTCTCAGGTATTTACACCCACCAAAACTCATCAAATTGTACATTTTGAATATGTGTAATTCATGGTATACAATTTATGTGAAAAAGTCGGTTAAAGGAAACAGGTTAACTTAAGGCAAATAAGCCAAAGTATTATTTCAGCTTACTAGGATTGAAGGGCTCTAAAAATCTATCATATATGTATGAAAAATGATGAGCAAGTCTTTATTACTGCTGAATAAATTAAAGAGACAGCATTTCATTAAAAATATTTCATAGTTTTGCTATTTCATAACCTAACATTAAATGAAAGCAGCAATATATTGTGTATAACATGGCCTCATCTGTTGGAAAAAATATCTATGCACACACACAAGGAAAACACTTAAAGAAACATACTTTAAAACAACTGCCTTTTGGATAGAACAGGGAAGAAAAGGGCAAAAAATGAAACCTGGATGCCAGTGACGGTGGCTTCTGCTACCCCAATGGAAGGAAGGGAAGAGGGCTTGTCGTTTAGCTTCAGCAGCTCAGAGATGGGGTCATAGACACGGTTACCTCTCAAAATACTTAAGTTTTCTCATTTAAGTAACTACCAACCAAAATACTTCTCTTTTGCTTTCTTAGATTACAAGGTTAGAGTTTAAGATCGACACTGGGTGAACTTGTAATTATTTAATGATCCACACACTTGGAAAGATCCGTTCCTAATCATGAACTTTTTTTCCCTCCAGTTTTCCTCACAGCAAATGAGATGGTTGTGAAGCAGTAGTAGCATCTACAAACAGCTTCAAACTCAGGTACCAATCTTCTGCTTTCCAGGAAACAAGCTCACCCACTTTGCAGAGCACTGGCTTCACAAGTTACATCTGTGTTTGTGCAGGAAGAGTCCCCCTTGAGCCAGCCCCAGGCTTACATGGATAGCAAGGAGTACAGCACTGTCCTCTAGACACAAGTTTTTCATCACATTTGTCAAAGTAACACAATTCCACCGACTTGAATAGATTTGATAACAACTATTTCAACAAATCATTCAAGTATGTGAGGTTAATGAATAAGAGAAGGCAGAAAAACAGAGGGCAGAACTAATGTACCCTCTTCATCACAAGACTGTATTACCAACATTTTAAATGTGCAAATGAATATGCACTACTCCATATGTTCTAAAGCCCCAGTGGAAAAGAAAAAAGGACATACTGCTAAATTTTAAACTTTTCGTGGTTACTGTTTTTATTAGATGTTCAAAGAGTACTTTAACAAATCCCTCCAATATGTCTGACAATACTTACAGATGGATCAGACTGAAATAAATATGGTCGCCCCTCATTCCAACCACAAATTAGTAGGGAAACTCCAAATGGACGAACACCACTAAAAAAAAGAAAAATGAAATTACTTGGCATCTTCATGGTGTTAAAGTCAACCTAAGGTAAGGATTTATTAATACTCTTAAGTATTAATGAAGCATATCATCAGGTGAAATGAATTAGTCTTGTAAATTCCTTAAGAAGGATTTCCTACCCTTCTGAACAAATCAATTCAAAACAAATTCTCTTTATGGTACTAAGGAACACTAATCAAATCATTCTGGTAAATGGAGAGACACAAATATTGGGGTTAATCTGGAGTAACATCTTGTGTCTTAGCAAAATGACAACTTTCAAAAAATGCAGCTTTTCCACTAGCAACTACCTTTATACTACCTCATCCACATGCACACCCAGATTCGAGAATTAAAAGAATATGGATGTATCAAAGAGTTATTGCTTTCATCATGTGCTTATAATCATTTCTGGTTGGAAAGGTAAGTTTGGAAGCAGCAATCACTGTCTGCCCATAAAGAAGTGTTTTAATCACTGGCAAAAGAAAATTATCTAGAAGGTGCTTTCTGCAATTATATCAAGAAACCACTCTAATTTTTTCCTTAAGAAAATGTTCTAGATCCAATTACGATCAGAAATATCCATCATAGTGATCTTCTCTACCTATTCAATAAATAGAGGAATAGTAAGTCCTCTTTTTAAATACATCCACTCTTCTAAAATGGTTTCTTTTTTCTAACTCATGACACATTTCAAATAATAAAATCAACTTACCCTGACTGAGTGTATTCTTGCATCACTGAAGCTACTCTCTGTACCAGCTGCGCTGTGGGAATGGGTTCTTGGTAAACGAGATAGTATTGCTGAGCTAGTTTTCGAGCTCTGTGCACGAGCACTCTAACAAACGAGGAAGAAGTAAGATTTAATTAAAATCTCAACACTCTGCTATGTAACGACTCTTCTCCTCCTATAGACATATACGTACAGCACAAGACTTACGTGTATCTGTGTAATAGTAGCAACCAGCTCAAAGCTAGTCTTGCTCTGACATCTGATTCCAGTTAACTTACAAGAAGACACCAGAGCAACACAGAGGAGCTGAGCCATAGGAGGTGGGATAAGGATAAGACAAAACGGAAGAAAATTAGGGACAAGGGGTACCAGTCAGCTCGGCAGGAATAGATTTAGTGTACACAATGGGAGCTCTACCTCCCTCCAAGGCTTCTTCAAGATTGTGCCCCCTTTCCCGAGGGCAGTCATCTTGTCTTTATATCTCAGTCAAGCCAAAACACGTAAAAGCCCACATGACAGTACACGTATGTATGTACGTACACACACGTACACACACACACACTTTTTTTTCACTCTGCTTCAATCCTTTCCACAGATTTCACTTCAAAGAGTACCCTTTAGAGATTAAGGAACAGCAAGAAACTATTCATAACTTAAAAAGTTTTTTTTAATTATTAAAAAATATTAAGAATACTGTATATGATAATCAAATACATTAGCAAGACAAACAGGATGTACCTTTACCCGCTCCTGTACTGCGGATCTGAACCATGCACATTACCCCTCGGCATAAGACTCAGTTTATCCTCAGCGGTCCTGTCCTGTCAGTGTATTCCACGAGTACACTGCGGCATCCCTTCCATACAATGATAACAGGATCTACTGTAGTGAAGCCTGACCACATCCCAGCAACACTGTTGCTTTTTCTGATTCGTTAAAGTGAAACTTTGGTTCTACCTGTGTTGTTTCCCAAAAATCAGGAATGAAGTGATTAATACCCTTTTTACTTGTTAAATGACAAACACAGAGAGCTGCCAATCTCTTTCAACTTGCTAGTACCCTGACATAACAAAGGCCCTGATGTTTCACTCCAGTGGCCTTTGAGAATTCTGTCCCTTTGCTAAGAACACAAATAAATATATTGGGGTTAACTCTGAGTGGTAATGCTTGCTTTCTTTTGCTGCCTGATCACTTTTTTTAAATACAGTTTATTGTAAGTTCTATTGCTTTTGTTTTTAAAATGCATTAGAGAACAGCCTCGTCCTTGGATAGTAGAAGAGGGGTTGTGATCAGAAGGGAAAGATCACTAAACAGAGGTTAAGAGAAGTACTGGCTCTCCTCTTTTGCAACGGAGTGGCACTGAGTTATCCCTAAAGCGACCCTTAGTGTAGTCCATGCAGGCAAGCGAAATTCTGCTGCCAATGATGCCGCCCGCGGGTGCGAAACAAAGTACAAAAACAAAGGGTTGGGAGATTAAAGGAAAAACATCCCTTCATTTTTCTCCTCAAGGTACAAATTACAAACAGTTTGCACAATGGTGAAAAAAACAACAAACAGTGTAAAAGTACCTGTAGTCTGGGCCCATGCCACTATACACCAGGCCTATATGCTTGGTAATTGGTTCCACTTTGTGTACACTTCGCTCGTCATACAGAATGGATTTCTGTTTCTTCTCAGTTGCTAATACCACACCATTTGCAGCTTTAAAAAAAAAAAGTGCTCAATGTTTAGTCACTTGAAGACTACCTCAACAGTTTTCTAATTATGGATGCAATTCATCCAAGCTCCTTTATTTCCTCTTACTTATAAAACCTTCTCTATACTAAAATCACCTAAGAAAAGGTAAATCCATTTTTCCCTCACTGGTCATCTATATTGTGCTAAGGAATCCCTATAGCTAAATGAATTACCCAACATCTCTTCAAGTATTCCAGGACACCTAAGGGTCCATACATTTTAAAATAACGGACTTCTGCCTACTTGGCTACTGTTCTTATAATTTGAAATGTAATCAATGATACAGGCTTTAAAAAAAAAAGGGGCGGAATCTTTAGATTAAGTTTTATCATTAACTTTTTCTAAATTATAGAAAGAGTAAAAACTGTATATAATTAGTGGAAAAACAAAAGAATATTCAGTTTTCTCAATGGGAAAGACTGTGGGTTATTACAACTAAGAGATAAAGGAGCTACATTTATTTTGAAAAAAATTTTAACCATCTTCTTAGACTTACTGGCTTATTACTTTTTTTAAACTTCAAAATACTGTAAATCAACAGAAAGAACTGTTAAAAATTATGCTGCCCTAGCTATTTATTTGTATTAATTACTAAATAATTCCAAAAGAACTTTAGGATAACTATTAACAGGCATCTGAAATGAATGAAACATTTAATTACCTTTAATTCCCACTGAAGGGGCTCCTCCAGCTACAGCAGCCAAAGCATATTCAATCTGGACAAGTTTACCAGACGGGCTTAAAAAGAAACAAAGGTATTTGCTAAATTCACATATCTTCAAATATGTATAATAGAAATATCTCAGAAAGAGGGCAGATATTTAGGTCAAATCCATTAACCAAATACCAACGAATAGCTGAACTTTCACATTATAAAGCTGTACAGAAATTGAATTTACCAGGCAATGTGAACATATTCATAGTGAAGCCCTTATTTTTCCTTTCCACCCCGCCCCCCTTGTCTGCTTCTTAAAACACCATCATCATTACTGTTGCCTTTTACCACTTCCCAGCCTTGTGACTTTGGGCTACTTAGCCCCACTGTGTCTCAGTTTTCACAGTGGGGATAATAGTACTGTACCTATTTCAAAAGATTGTTGTGAAGATTAAATAAAGTGATGCCTTTTGTTCCTGGCACAAAATTAGCAGTAAGTAAATACCAAACAGTAATGTTATTATGAACATGTATGTGTCTGTTAAATACCAAACAACAGCATATATTTCGTATGAGGGGAGTTACACATTTTGGAAAGTAGGCATGGCCTAAGATGTAAGACCTTGCTATCACCCATGACAAAATATTTTCTATGTAAGGCTATTTCTAGAAGCTGTGAGCTGGTGATACTTAACATATCTGATTCCATGGGTTCTGTAGCCAAATACTAGCCCTGAACTGGCTTTGAAGATCATACTTCGTTTCAATCCAGTTGTTAAGTTAAAACACCACGAATTCGCAGACTAACCTAATTTTACAGATAAAGAAAAAGTTCTTCAATGAAAGTAATTTGTCTAGAATGACACAACTTGGTCCATATCTCCAGTCTACTAATGAAAATATAACCTTGAGTTTCAGAAGGTCATTTCTTTCATCTTCATAAAATTATGGATACTCTGTCACTCAATCCTCAGCTTTGTTCCAGACACACAGACCACTCTTAGAATTCAAAAACCCCTTTGATAAACTAACATCTGTCTGGAATGCATTTCACCTTCCTCTGGTGAACTCTCCTGGTCATCCCTCAATCTTTAGCAGAAATGTCATGTTCTTAGAGAAGCTGTCCTGACCATCCAGACTAGGTTGAATCCCATACGCTCATGCCTATGATGTCCCATACTTCCTCTCTGGCTAAGATTCATCATGCTTAAATTAGTCTTACAATGTTTGTCTTCCTCAACCAAGTGTGAGGAAGCTCTGTTCGGTCAGTATATTCTAACATATAACCTAGTACCAGGAATCACAATCATTTGGCTGACAGAGACACAACCAGACCTATATATGGAATAAGCCTAGGTGTGGCAGTTTAAAGACTCTTAAATGACAAAATTAGTTACCTTGAGTGAAATAACATCAATAGGTATTTAAATTTTTAAAATTAGACTGCACATGTTTTACTTTATTAGTCACTATTTCAATAATCCTATCATGATTCACTGGGTCCATTCAGCTTTCAATTATTATTCAAAATCTAACTCAAATACTCCTGGGGAACATTTTAAAGGCTCAGGTAAACTTAAATATACCTTCTCTCTGTTCCCACAATCACCTGCATACACATCTACCATTGCAACTTCCTATAGGAAAGCTCACCAGTCTGTGAGCTCACCGAGCAATCAACAATCTTTGTAGTCAGTCATGCCACTAGCCCATTCCAAAGTACCAGCATCTCTACCTGGGATAACTGATACAGCCTTCTAACTAGTTTTCCTCTTTTCCACTCTTACTTCAATCCCCCTAGCCAGAGTTACCATTGCACCACATCACCTCTCACTTAAATCCTGTAATAACTTGCTGGTTCACTTAAAATACAAACTTCTTATTCTGGCCTACAGGGCTCTGCGAGAGTGGCCCTACCCACTCTCACTATACTCTAGCACACTGGCCTTATTATCAATTCCCGTAGTTCAAGCTCTCTCCCAACTTCAGAACTTTCACATATCCTCTTTCCTCTGTCCACCAGTCTCTCTACCCCTAAATCTTCAAACAGTTGGCTTTTTTCACCTTCTGGTCTCACAATTCACCCCCAAGCACTGGTTTTTCCTGACTATCCAATCTACAGCTATGTTTCTTCTTTTACTCCCTTTTAATAAAAATTCCTGAGTAAGAGAAAAACTTTTTTCCAGAATGCATTAGTAGACACCAATTTGTTTACTCATATCCTCAAATGAATGTAATCCACAAGAACACTTTTTCATCCTATCATATAGCCTCATAACTTCCACCACTATAGTTTAATTCTGATTATAACAGGCTAGAAACAAAATTTTTAAATCAAAACAGAGTTGAACCATTATGTTAAAAAACAAGTTTATTTTAATAAATTATTACAGATGGATTCAGTCCCTGATGATGTTTTATGTTTCAGCTCCACTTATCCTAAAGAAAGGATTACACTTTCTTAAAGAACCAAGTTTGCTTTGTTCACAAATATGAAGTGATTCTTTAGCAAATATTGTTCTCTATCATTGTATGTTGTTACAGACAAAAGTTAAAAAAATCCTCATTACTGAAAACTGCCAAGTGTAAGGCAAGTATTTTAGTGTTTTAAAAAGACACCATACAGTAACAGAAAGTGTATTAATTTTATCATCAGAAAGATCCCAGTTTGAATGTGAACTCAGCTACTCATCTATGACCTTGGACAAGTTTTAATTTGTTCGGCCTGTGGTTAGTTCATCTGTAAGATGTTGAAATAACATGTATCACACATGGTAGCAGAAAGCAGTAAGAGTAGGCTAAGTGCACCCACACAAGAAAGTACTCAACAAGTTGGATCCCGCTTGCCTTCAGCTGTCAGAGAGAACTGTATTCCAACTAAATGGGAGATTACTGATCCGTAAGAAAATGGTCAAACTAAATCATTACCGGGTCGATTTATTAAACCCTTCGCTGGCGGTCTTCTTATATTTGGAACAATAGTTTATCTCAACTGTATTTTGAAAAATACACTATTATTAATCCCTTGTTCTAAAACAGAAAAGCCTACAATCTTTTGTAAAGTAACATATCCTCCTCACCCCCCAAAAAATGGCCAAAACGGAAATGTAACCTCGTAGTCTGGGGCCCACAAACACTAGCTGACAGAAAGATTAGCGCTTTCATTTTTAGTCCTTAAACTTCTAACAGGGGCATGGAAGAAACCGAAAGCGGGAAGAGATTTCGAAGTACCAAATGGAGACTGTAAGACTCAGACCTAACTGTAACGATGCGGTTTTCCAAAGAGAAAAAAGAGACCCCAAAGATCTGACCAAGATTCCAAGGTCCAGAAGCTCCCCAATCAGGCCTACAGGTCAGGAAGGAAATCCTGAGTTCCGAACGGGACACCCGGAGGCAGCTAATCCCAAACTGCCTTATTCTCCAGTCCCCAAAGCGAAAGTAAATCCCTAGTTGAGGACCTTACCCTCCCGCAGCCCCAAGGTCGCCCTGGATGCCCAAACCCGAGTTCCCGCGGCTTCCCGGCACCGCTGCTCCCAGGCCGCGGGCGGGCCAAGAAAATGACTTTGCAAAGTCGCATTTCCATCTCTACTTCCTACTGGGCCCCCCGGAAGCATCAAGCCAGAGACTAGGACGGAAAAAATGGGGCAGAGGGAACTCCTACAACCTCGGCTCCGCGGAGGACTTTGGGAGCCCCTTCCATACCTGAATGTAGTCAGCGAAAAGCTGTAACCGCGCTCCGCCATCTTTACCTGGAGGGCCAAAGCACATCCGCACACATGCGCACTGGGGCCGGTTTCTTTCCATTTCCCCTCACCACGCCTTCCTTTTTCTCTCTCTGATTGGAGGAGAGTCAGAGACGCTCCAGGGACATGCTGGGCGATGTAGTTCCAGCAGCCAGGTTTGCCGGACGCTGCGTCTCTGCGCATGCTCGAGGTGGGGGCGGGACGCAGCAGCGAGGTGGGCGTGGTCTTCGGGCGAGGAAGATGGCGTCGGTCATGCTGGTGCTTGTCGTCCCACCGTGGCCGGCAGCCCGAGGACTCCTCCGGAGCTGTTGGGAACTACTACAGCGGAAACTTCAGCAGAGCGGACCAGGTTTTCCCAGTCTTCCGTGGGGTACGTAAGGAAGGCCGCCGTGGAGAAGAGATCGGATGAGGGGACTCCAGGCAGCTTGGTAGACACCGCTTATATTTCGCTCTCCTCCCCCGTTTTGATCCTCCGCGGCGCGTAGGGGACGTTGTCCGGGGTAATTCCTTACTTAGAAACTGGAAGCAGTTGGTTTTGCCTCCCCCAACCCCAAAAGACAGAAAAAGTCCTCTGATTGTCCTATTCATACACAGAATGTAACCAAGCTTGTTAGCTTAGATCAGGTTCGCCACTATCTAGATCCTGTTTCCATGTTAGTCTTCCCACCCCCTGAAGCAGCTTGTCCTCCTCTGTGGTGTTTGAGCTCTGCAGTTGAATCCTGCTGATCCCTGTGTTTTCCCCGGAAACTAATTTTAGTTAGAAGGATCTTAGATGTTAAAATTGTCATTACTTTGACATTTACATTCTACGTTTATTTCCAAGGTGTCCCGAACATAATAATACCCAGGGAGTCTGAACGGAGAGCCCATGATAAGCCAAAGCCTACGTGTGCTTCCTGGGAAAGCTCCACACCGACCCGTTAGGTATCACCACTTTTCAGCTGAGGAAGTAGGCTCATGAAGGTCCCAAGGTCACACAGGCCGGCCAGAGCTTGTGCTGTTAACCACTGAGCTGTGCTTCGCGATACTTACAGATATATTGAAAAGGAATACCAGTTGCTAAATGTTAGACAGCTTTGTTTTTAAGAGTTCCTAAAACCAAAAGACATATTCTAGGTCTGAGGAAGAGCAGGGAAAGGATAAAGCAAAACTGAAACGTTGATAGTCCTATAAGTAAATATCATGCAGAGTGGTGAGCTAGTGCTTTTCTTCAGAGAACAGACAGTAATCAAGTATTATGAAGAACTAAGTGACTTAAAGGGCCTACCAGGCTATGTGACAGAGGAACAACTCAGTTGGAATATAATAAGAAGGTGCCAAGAGGCAGTTATCTGAGTACAGGTTGGAAATATATTTTGAGAATCTCAAGCTTAGATTTACTTGTAAAGTAAATAGGAACTGCCTACCAAGTAGAATGTGGACAGTTTGAGTGATTTATTCATGTTTACTACTAAACCCCTGAGTTCTGTATTTCAGAAGGTGAGAAACTTGGTGGTAGAATTTTACTGATTCATTTCAGCAGGTGCCTCTAAGAAAAAATTCTATTCATGTTGTTTAAAATTGCTTTATGTATGAGTTTTAGTGTATTTTAATAGCTAAGGCTTCTGTTTAATGTCTATTGAGTGTAATACTCTAAATTTTATATGTGTCTATTGACATATCACTGTTGATTGTTAAGGAGGATGATATGTAAAGAGTCATTTAGAAACTAGAAATCCATGGTGTATTTCCACGTTTTGTTTTTGTAGGACCAGCATTAGCAGTCCAAGGTCCAGCTATATTTACAGAACCAGCAAATGATACCAATGGAAGTAAGGAGATTTTCAGCCTTTCCGATAGTATCTTTTGGATGGCAGCTCCTAAGAACAGACGCAGCATTGAAGTTAACC